CCCCTTCTCACACCACAGCCCCTTCTCACTCCACAGCCCCTTCTCACTCCACAGCCCCTTCTCACTCCACAGCCCCTTCTCACACCACAGCCCCTCGCAATAGAGGCCTTGTACAAACTCCTCTGTGCATAAACACAGAGCTGTCTCAGCTGCACCCACCTCGGCCTGCAGCCTCCCTCATTTCCCAGACCTGCTGACAAAGGGATCAGGGAGGGAAAAGGCCAGCCACCTGGCCCAAGGAGAGGGCATCCTTAGTCTTCTGAAGGTGCCGTAGAATTTGGGTTGGCAACCCGACAGGGGCCTACCCCTTCTCCCCTTCTTCTAGCCTTGCCTTGGAGGAGGACGCTGGAAGGCCAGCTTTCGTGCAGCTGTTGCTGGTCAGAAGCCAGGCCCGGCTTGATAAGAGTGGTCCAGGCTGGTGACATCCTTGTGATCAGGGCATCTCCCTGAGGAATGCCCACAGAAGCAGGCAGGAGCACCATAGGGGTGAGGGAAGAGGCTGTGAGGGCCCAGGCAAGGTGCACCCAGCTCAGCCTCAGTGGGACTGATAGTGCCTGGGGTGGGGCTGAGAGAGGTGGGCTGCGATTCCTTTGGCAAGATGATTAAAATGCTCCCGCCCCAAGGGATGGAGAGAGAGTGCCCAGGATAGGGGCTCAAGCATCTCATGCCTGGTGGACCACAGCACCCCCTGTAAGACAACTGCAGAAGGGGTGAAAACTCCTCACCTGATGCTTCTCTATGGCGGGCTAGACTGGCCATAGGCCTCAGTCTCTGAATCTGAACACAGGCCAGGACCATCTTGCAGAAACCATAGGGCAAGCCCTTGTTTCCTGCTGATTGAATTGCAGACAGCTGACGGGTGTTCCGTGGTGTTCCTCCCTCTACTGACCTACCTGAAGGTGATTCAGGAGAAAGGGACTGTTTTCCCAGGGCTGCAAGACCCCACCCTGACACCTGACACCGGGCAGTGCGTGCAAGGAGCCAGGCAGGGGGAGCTGAGCAGCAGAGACCGCTGTTGGGGAATCATCCAGTGAATTGATGAGTGGGAAACTGTTAATTTCCAATCCAGGCAGTCCATTCAGGGCCTCTTCTTCCCTTTGGCTGATGGTCCCTAGGCCAGGACCAGTGGGCCAGGTGCTAAAATTACCCAAGGTCCTGACAGGACTCTGGCCCCCAGTAATTCTGAAAACCAAGCCACTCCACTTGTCCTGAAGCCCTTAGCCTGTGTCTTCGGGAAGGTGGCTGGAAGACCACTTGTTCATGATGAAGTTGCACGTCAGAGGCCAGGTCCACTCTTGGTGAGGGGACACTTGTTGCCCTTTTATTTCTCCCATCTTCCTCTTCACCCCTCCTTTTCCCTATTTTGTAGTTACACTGTGGACCCCTGGTGCTGGGTAAAACAGCCCTGCTTCATCCCCAAACTGACTGCTATGTGGGCCAGATGATTGAAGTTTAAGGGACAAAACAAATTACGTCCCATTTGCAGATTGAAGGTGGTACAATTAGAATATTGGTGGGTAAGCAATTTGACCTTATTTTCCTGAGACATGTCCCTACACAAGATTCACTGGGTCCCCACCTCACGTCACCATACTATGGGTAGGTAGAACGACCGCATAATTTACCAAATTGGGACAGAGGACAGTAAACAGAGGCACTATTAAATACACTTCAGGCCGGGCCTAGCGGCTCACACCTGTAATCCTAGCACTTTGGGAGCTTGAGTTTGAGACCAACCTGGGCAACATAGGGAGACCCCGTCTCTAAAAAGTAAATACACTGGCTAGGCACGGTGGCTCACGCCTGTAACCCCAGCACTTTGGGAGGCCGAGGTGAGCGGATCACGAGGTCAAGAGATTGAGACCTTCCTGGCCAACATGGTGAAACCCCGTCTCTACTAAAAATACAAAAATTAGCTGGGTGTAGTGGCGTTTGCCTGTAGTCCCAGTTACTTGGGATGCTCAGGCAGGAGAATCGCTTGAACCTGGGAGGCGGGGGTTGCAGTGAGCCGAGATCGCACCACTGTACTCCAGCCTGGCAACAGAGACTCCTCAAAATAAATACACCAACAGGCACAGATTGGCACTGTCCCGGGGAAACTGTCACTGAGGTCACCTCAATAGGGAGCTTCCTTATTGAATGCACACATCCCAGCCCCAGCTGAATCAGAAGTGAGTGCTTTGTGGACATTTCCCCAAACTTTTTAAAAGACATTATCATTCGAATGAAAACCATTGACAAAAAGAGAAAATCTTAACTTCAAAAATTTTATTTTAGTCTCATCCATCAAGGGCATAGGATACCTGCATCAGCTCCAACTTCTGCTTTTCTCCTTTGCCTCTGCTCCTTTACCCTTACCGAGGGATATGCCATACAGGCAGCTGCCTACAACCAAAAGCTCTCTTTGCCTTCTGGGTTGAGTGCTCAAGCCAAGTGTGGAAAGGCAAGCTGCCCAATATAATCCGAGAACCTTCTATGCCAGCCTGCAGACTACGGGAAAAGGTTCACTAGTGTCACTCACTTGGGTTGTCACAGGTAGTAAACAGAAGCTAACTCACCACCATAGCCAGGTTTCTGTACTTGTTTCCAGACACTCTAGAGAATAGCACATTCCAACGTCTGATCTTAATCTCATTCTGAAACACTGTGAGGAATCATTTAAGTGTGCTTGTTCCAGAGCTGATTATGAATCTTCTAGAAAAGCCGGTCACTACATTATATTCTTTCATAGGAGCTCATTATCACGACCTGAAAGATACCTACTCTACCTTCCCTCTAAAATCTTAAATTTGAAACTAACCCAAACTTTCGAGAAAGCAATTTAATGGGGCAGAACGTTAAGCAGTCGCTAGCTTCAAGCAGGAATGCTTTCATAACTGCTGGCTCTCACGCTGTCTCACTGACATCCACATACTATGCTTTTGTGGCCATCATTGCATAAGAAAACTGGCTTCATACTGAAGTTTAAGAGTGAGTTCTACACCTGCGGGCTTCTATGCTATGGAACGGGAGGGGGGAAAAAGCTTCTTGATAGATTGTCTTAACCCACACTGCAAATACGGCAATATTATGGCATCTTAATAAAGCAGAGAGCTGTTCACATGCTTTCTACAGTATCTTTGTAAATAAAAGGTTCCTTTGTCTACCAAGCAACACCTGAAATGAACTAAGCTCAAAACATTAGTATACAAAGACCTAGATAATGGGACATGTGAAAACTTAGCACATTCAATTTAGGTTTTGGACACTTAAGTTGGATAAACAAGTTTATTGTAAATTTAGTCAACATACATAATTGACCTAAAAACTCCAATAAGATAAATTTTAAAACCACTTGGAAGGCCATCTCTATAAAAATGATTTTCCCAGGACAGTAACCAGATGTAACCTAACCCAACACCATCTTAATTGGCAGAGGTTCAGTGGGCTGGAGCTTTATGCTCCTCCCCCACAGCAAGTTTTTATAATACAAATGCCACAAGAAAAAGAACTTCGGTACTGTTTCCTCTTAGCAGAGGAGAAAAACTCAACTTAGTTATGAGACCAACCACACGACACAATGAAAAGCTGCACTAACTAGTTCAGAATATTAGTTAATAGATGATGCTGGTGTGAATAACTTGTATTTTTTTCTAGAGCCCTTATAAATAAAATCCCCCAGTTAGTGTTTGCATTATCAGCTAGAGGGTTAGATAACATGTGGTAGAATGAGGACTTATGCAAGGTATAAATGCGCATAGCATTTTACTACTATGAGAACAAGTGCAGTCAGAAGAAAACCAACTGGACTCTAAATTACACACACCTTAATGACAAGACTCCCCACCACTTGTGAATGTAAAACATTTAATTTAAAAATGTTGACACTACAATATATAAAATAGCTATTATAAATGCACATAGTGTATTCTATAGCTGCCAGGTTTACTTTTTTTTTTTTTTTTTTTTTAAAGGAAACTGTAAGTTACACTGTGGTTAAGACTTGTATCTTCACCCTTGAAAAAGCCCACATTCTATCACAGTGATGTATGGTCAGACTTAACAGCCCCAATTGTTAAACACTTGGATCAAGTCATAACCAGTTTTATTGCAAAAGGACCCTGTACACATTTATCAATTCTAGTACCTTAATAGCTACCCAACAAGTCATTAACATACAGAAACATGCATCATGAGAAGCAAGAAATATCACCCATCCCTTCTGCATATTAGCAACTTGTCACTCCTGAGCAACAGTGCTCACATCACTGAGGTCTGTGAACAGTCACTTTTCGCATTCATCCTGAGTGAAAGATGGAATGACTTAAGTACAAATGCAACATATTATAAACAATTTCTTACAAAAAAAGTCACAAATTAAACCAAAGTATTTTACAGAATTTACTACAAAACGCCATAAAAACTGCCTTCACTTAAGCTCTCTCTCCCCGTATCCGGCGAGCCAACTGGATGTCTTTGGGCATGATGGTGACTCTCTTAGCGTGGATGGCACACAGATTAGTATCTTCGAACAGACCCACCAGGTACGCTTCGCTAGCCTCCTGTTGAGGACAAGAGCCACACTATTAATCCCCCTCGGGGAGCGGAAACCGCCCAGCCCTCCCCCGACTCCAGGCCTTTGTCTTACCTGCAGCGCTCCAATGGCCGCGCTCTGAAACCTCAGGTCGGTTTTGAAATCCTGAGCGATCTCCCTCACCAACCTCTGGAAGGGCAGCTTCCGAATGAGCAGCTCGGTCGACTTCTGATAACGACGAATCTCTCGAAGCGCCACGGTCCCGGGCCTGCAGCGAGCGAGCAGGGGAGGGGTGAGCAGACGCCGCCGCACAAAGCCGTCCACCGGCGAGCCATTGTTCCCCCGCCCGGCCTACCTGTAGCGATGAGGCTTCTTCACCCCGCCGGTAGAGGGAGCGCTTTTCCTGGCAGCTTTTGTGGCCAGCTGTTTGCGGGGCGCTTTCCCACCGGTGGATTTACGAGCAGTCTGCTTGGTTCGGGCCATTTTCTTTCACCTAAGAAAGACGCCCCGAAGATAAGGCCGCCGCGCTCACCCGGGCCGCACCCCGGGGCTGCGGGGGTACAGGCCCTGGCCCCTCCGCCGGGCCTCCCGCCTCCCCGTGCCCCACCTCGCGGCGGCAGATGGCCGAGGGCCGCCAACCTCCTCCCCCTCCCCTAATGACTCAGGCTGCAAGGAGCGGCAGCCTCCCCCGGGAGGGGGAGTACAGGGAGGAGTCACTTCCCTTCCTTGACGGGCGGAGGCCCGACTGCCCGGAATCCTGCGTCGGGACCTCTGAATCACCGCCAGGAAAAGGCGGGGACGCGGTTCCGGAACAAAGCCCCAAGGGGAAACCTCCCGACCCCATACCCTACCCGAAACCAGCGGCCCGAGGAGCCCCCGCCGCTCGGCTCCCAACGGCCGCGGGCCGCGGCGGCAACGGTTGGCAGAACCTGCAGCCGCGGGCAACCCCACGAACGCCTACCCAACGCCCAAGTTTTAGGCCACTTCTCCGACCGCCGCGCCGCTTCCGCTGCCCGAGGAACAGCCGCAATCGCCGAGCCAAGAACGGACACAAGCCCAACGAACGACCAAACCGCTCTGCGCTCCAAGCCCCCTCGACGCCTCCGTTTTTATAGGCACGCTTCACGCTGCGTCTCTGCGTCATAGAACCCTTATTTGCATACACCAACGACTTTTTTTATTGGTGGGCGCTTTCGCCGACGCGCTGACATCCCCCGACACAAAGGCCGTGCTTCGGCACTGTTCCATGATTGGTGCATATCTAGGCCGCTGATTGGCTGTTAAAGTCGCCTAATGATTGGATGGATGCAAAGAGGAATGGACGAATCAGAGTTTAGCACTGAGCGGCCCTTCTGATTGGATAAAATGGAGCTATGTTTGGATCCTTCCCTTGGTTCCAAAGCTCTGCAATAGAAAGTCAATGCAAATGAATTGCATTGGTCTCTATCAGGATGAGCAGGAGTCTAAACTTACAGGCATCAAGCGAATGCTATGCACGCAGAGAGGCTACTTTAACAAATTTTTTGTAAATATTTTCCGATGTAAAATAAAATGTGTTCCCTAGATTACCTTTCATAATATTTTGGTCGTTAAGTGCGTAGTGTGAGAATTAGAATTCAGTAAATCATGTTATACTATCAAGTATTTCAAATATCATGCACATACATTTTTAACCAGAAGCAGGTCCCTTGGTGGGGTGGGAAGGGGTAAATAACAGATACAAATAAACATGTTAATAAATTAGAGGAACTGTTTCGTATGTTTTTAAGGTGTCACAAAATATTTTGTGATTTCCATATGATTAAACAAGAAGTAACTTAAGCAACATGTTACTTGAATTATGTACTTCAACTGAATGAAATGACTACAGCCAGAAAGGAAATAGTCCTACTATAGTATTTGTATGTCCATGAAGAATAAACGAAAGATAACTAAGCTAAATATGTGCCCTTTTGTTTAATAGCATATCCTGGCAGGTATTACTTCTGAAGAAAGATGACAAATGTGTAAATATGCTAATCCCTACCTTTGCCTAAGTAAATGTCTTGGGTAGATTGCAATAGTCAGTTCTTCAGTTGCCTCAAGTATATAAAATACCATAGCAGGCTTAAGGTTAAGACTAGCCAAGCAAAGCCCAGAAAATTGAAATACAGCCTTGGGCATTCTACTCCACTCTATAGTTCTGATGCTTGGTTCAACAAATATTCCAAACTACTAAAAGAAAAGGTAGCAGAAACACGTATATATAGGTTTCAACTAATTTTTTTTTTTTTTTTTTTTTTTTTTTTTTTTTTGAGATAGAGTCTCTCTGTCGCCCAGGCTGGAGTGCAGTGGCGCAATCTCGGCTCACTGCAAGCTCCACCTCCCGGGTTCACGCCATTCTCCTGCCTCAGCCTCCCGAGCAGCTGGGATTACAGGCACCCGCCACCACGCCCAGCTAATTTTTTGTATTTTTAGTAGAGACGGGGTTTCACCGTTTTAGCCGGGATGGTCTCCATCTCCTGACCTTGTGATCCGCCTTCCTCGGCCTCCCAAAGTGCTGGGATTACAGGCTTCAGCCACCATGCCTGGCTGTGTTTCACGATTTTTCTAGGTTACACAGAATCATGTCATTTCCATGCCTCCGTGTGGAGGGACAGTCATTTTCTTTCCAGCTTTGCTAATTATTAGAAACTAAAGCCACCCGGAGAAAAAAGGTATGGATTTACATTTATTCATTTAAGTATGATTCGTGGAAATAGGAGGCCGAGTGCGGTGGCTCACGCCTGTAATCCCAGCACTTGGGAGGCTGAGGAGGGCAGATCATGAGGTCACGAGTTCGAGACCAGCCTGACCGACATAGTGAAATCCCATCTTTACTAAAAATACAAAAATTAGCTGGGCGTTGTGACATGCACCTGTAATCCCAGCTACTCAAGAGGCTGAGGCAGGAGAATCGCTTGCACCTGGGAGGCAGAGGTTGCAGTGAGCCGAGATCGCACCTCTGCACTCCAGCCTGGGCAACGGAGTGAGACTCCGTTTAAAAAAAAAAAAAAGAAAAAGTCTGTCTCTCTTACTTGGTAGTCACACAGGTATGTTTCACTTTTTCCAAATTGGTACAAGGGAGGAAAAGCAACACAGGAAATGAGGAAGAACCAAAAACCTCTACACAATGAAAAAAATAGCAGAAAAAAAAGAAAACAAACAAAACCCAACAGTGAATGTGATGTAGCCTTGTAGGCTACTGTCCTAGTTCCTCTTCTGTTACCAACTTGCTGAGTAACTTTGTGCGGTTACTTAGCTTCTCTGGGTTTCGGTTTCCTCTTTTGCCAATTAAGCAGTTTGGATGAGATCATCTCCCAATTCTCCCAGTACACACTTATTCTAAAGCTCATGGTATACATCCATTATTTAAAATCTGGTGCTGTGACCTCTATTTCTTCAGTCAGATGACACTTGAGTATTCTGAGGCTAACATAAACCAATTAAGTTGCGTTTAATCATAGGATTAAAGCAATATACTACAACTTGTATTTATCCTTTTGTAATTTTTCATTTTCAAACGCCCCTAGTGGCTAAACGATTTAGCCTATTTAGGAAATACCGGTTTCTCAACTCTGTAATGTGGCTTCTGATGTGAGGGAACTTGGAGCTAAATAAAATATGTGTCACTCAAACGTTAACGATTTTCCATTAGCCCCACCACCCCTCACCCCTAAGGTTATTTGGAATGTGTTTCTTTAATGAGATAATCATTTGCTAATGTAATCCCATCTACGAAAATATAAATCAAAACCAGTGGATTTAAAATAGATTCAATATGAAAAACAAAGTTAAATGTCAACTGTTAAAATATCTATGGAGAACATTCTAAAACTCACAGAAACAAATGCCTAGGTCTGGGGCATCTGGCTTATTTTACAAAGTGAAGAACTTTGCTTGACTGGTAGGAAGCAGAGATGGGAAAGATAATGTCCCAAGTAAAAAGACTGACGACCAGAGAAGAAAACGAGAGTGGATAAATACGGGCACGCCCTACTCAAACCCAGGCCTTTCCTCTGGACACTGTGATGCTTCTCAACACTGACAAGTTGCCTGCAATTTGTCAATGTACCTCAGAGGCTATTCTAGGCGGAGATTAAATTTGTCCTTGGCCCTTAATGTACTGGAAACAAGTTGGTCAGGCCAGGTGTCAGGCTGAGAAGGCACACAAGTCGTGGAGTTCCAGGTGTCGAGGCTGGTAAAGGTAAATGAAGCGCCTGGGCAAAGGCGCGGGAACTCTCCTCCTTAGCAAAGCTTTCTCAATCCCTCTCAGGTTAGACCCGCCGCAAGGATGAAGGGGTTGCTGTCGGATTGCAGGTGCCTGCAGCACAGGGCCCAGAACTAAGAACCGACAATACAGATTCTTAAGACCTGCTTGGAGGCACTGCTCTGAGCTGGCATTAGAACCGACCCAAGATGTACTAAGTATAAAGGCAAAGTAGTTATGACACCGTTGGCAGTGAAACTATACTTGGAACTCTTTCGCAGAAGTCGCTAGGGCCTCCCTAGCTCTGGGCCCCTTCTCCTCCAGGCGCTCCAGTTTCATGGAGAGGCTTCCCTTTGAAACTGAAAACGCGCTGGTAAGAAGGATAAACGCGACCGGACTGCAATTCCCAGAAGCCGTCGCAGGCCCTCACCATCCGGGACACTAGCAGCACGGATCCCTGGGTATTGTGGTCCCGCGCTTTGCCAGCAACCCTCTGCCGACGGTAAAATTCCAGTCGGACATAGAACCACAACTCCCAGCAACCCATGCTGCCGTGTGGGGGGTCTTCACGTTCTCGTGGCGCGGCGCAGGCGTACTGGGTCCTCGGCGCGGACCGCGCAGACTGAATAATAAAAGGGGAGCGGCGAAGAGGCAGGAAGACAAGACCATGTCGAAGGGCCCCGGGCCCGGCGGCTCCGCAGCTTCCTCGGCGCCCCCGGCCGCTACCGCTCAGGTGCTGCAGGCACAGCCCGAGAAACCGCAGCACTACACGTACGTAGAGCCCCCCCCCGCCGCGCGCGCACGCCTGACGTCAGCGGCCAGCGTGAGTCACGCGCGCAGGGAGAGCGCGAGGCGGCCTCTTCCTCCCCCCCTTCCTCCTCCGGCCCGGCCCAGACCGGTTCCAACCTGCTGGGGCCGGTCCCAACTGCCTCCAACTGCCACCAACCTCTGGTCGGGCTGTGGGGCGGGAAACTCGGTCCCGGCCGCTGAGTGGGGAAGGCGGGAGCTCGGGATGCAGAGTGCACTCTCCCTAGGCCAGGCCTTCGAGGCCTAACTGTTCCTCAGACCATAAAACCACAGTAGTAGGCTCCTTTGGGGGGCAGTGAGAAGTCCAAGACACAACCAAGACGAGTTCCGTGGGGCCCAGCCCCAGAACCCACCTATGAATGATCATTAGCGCGAAATTCTGTCAGGAGATTCCATGCAATTTGCACAGGAAGCCTTTTGTGTCCCTAAGGCTCGTAGGTTGTCCACGAGGGCCACCCTTGCTTGAATTCCCAGTCGACGTAGATAAACATGCAAAGATGGAAACGTGTCGGTGCGTGCCCATGACCGTTTCCCTCGCGGGCTGTGCGGAGCCTGAGTTTGGGAGCCCGAAGGTGATGGGTTCCGAGTATGTCTGCAGGCTCAGCAGAAATGTGGCATTAGAGGGACCCCCAAATACCGACACTACAGGGTCCAGCAAGATGGGAAAACCTCTTCCTGGAAGTGTGCATCTGTGTGCTTTTAGGTCGCTGTCTTCATTTCCTTCAAGTCACATTAAGCATTCCCTAGTTAGGTGATGTGGGAGAAAGATGAATAAGGGGCGGTTTCTCGTGTTAAGCAAAATGTTGCTTTCCATTTTCCCTGATGCTCTGAATGCCTCTCATCCCCATGGGCTTCTGAGCGATGTGCATCTTTAAAAGGATCCCCAGCTGCGAGAGGTTTTGGAACCTGGGGGGTTGAACAGCTCTTAAGTTGTTCAGTGAACGAAGAACAGAATCATCTGTTGGAGTAGAAAGAACTCAAACCAGACAGGAGGAACTCTTGCTATATAGAAGACCTTGGGAAACTGTTCTGGGGTTGGGGAACATTGGTTATAGGAAGTGTATGGTTTCTCTGTGGGATTCTATGTTGTTGGCTGGAATCATTTAAGCTTCTTGACTACAGTCTGACTCAGGTTAACCATTCCTTTTCTGATTTGGGCATTGCTTTCCTGGTCCTTTCTTACTGGAGATCTTTCGCAGTCTTTCCATTGATTTTGGTGAGATGTTTTTAGCTCAAAGACTACTGATTAGTTGAATGGTGTAGTCTTGATTTTCGAATGTGGAAACTTCACGTAATTGGAACTTCTTTATATTCTCTGGTTGCTCAGATCACTGTTTTTAGTAAAATAAACACATTTTGAGTCATGAGAGTCTTGGTTTCAGCAACTTGTGTTTCTGTGTTGTGTTGTCATTGAGCATACTATGAAATCTGTATTAGAAAGACTTTCTTATTTTGGAATTGACAGGTGAAACTAGCGAACAGCTGAGTAAATGTCAGTGTCTGAGTCTTTGTCTTCTTGATGCTCATTTGTTTAAAACCTGTCTTTCAGGCCGGGTGTGGTAGCTCACACCTGTAATCCCAGCATTTTGGGAGGCCGAGGCGGATCACCTGAGGTCAGGAGTTCGAGACCAGCCTGCCCAATATGGCGAAACCCCATCTCTACTAAAAATACAAAAAATTAGCTGGATGTGCTGGTGGGCACCTGTAATCCCAGCTACTCAGGAGGCTGAGGCAGGAGAATCGCTTGAACCCGGGAGGTGGAGGTGGCAGTGAGCCGAGATCGCACCACTGCACTCCAGCCTAGGTGACAAGAGTGAAACTCCGTCTCAAAAAACAAAAACAAAAAAACCCTGCCTTTCCATTCCTTGTGGGTAAGTACAGAGTAATGGGACCTGGCTCTTGAGGTGTCTTAGGAAATCAGCAGGAGTAGGTAAAATAGCCAGGCTTGATGGGAGGTTGTAGGTGTTCTTATCTCCTTGTCTGTTCGTGTGTATGTGTGTTTTTATATTTTTATTTCCAAAAATCAGAGATAGAAATCAGTGGTCTTTCTTGCTAGACTTACCAGCATTCAGAAGCTGTGATGACTTGGCATACTTCATCCCCTAGTCGTCCTAGGGCTGAGGTGCAGGGAGCATGAGGACACATATGATGGAACCAGCACACTTGCTGACTCTGATTTTTCTTTTTTCTTTTTTTTTTTAAGATAGGGTCTCTGTCATCCAGGCTGTAGTGCAGTGTCACAATCTCAGCTCACTGTAGCCTCGACCTCCCTGGTTCAAGTGATCCTCCCACCTCAGCCTCCTGAGTAGCTGGGACTACGGGCACACCTGGATACGTTGTTTTGGTATTTTTTGTAGAGACGTGGTTTTGCCATGTTGCCCAGGCTGGTCTCAGACTCCTGTGATCAAGCAGGTGCAAGCAATCTACTGTTGGGCCTTGGCCTCCCAAAGTGCTGGGAGGCCACCACACCCAGCCTTTTTTTTTTTTTTTTTCTCTCTTAAAAGAGACATGGGCAGGGTGCTGTTGCTCATGCTTGTAATCCCAGCACTTTGGGAACCTGAAGTGGGTGGATCACTTGAGGTCAGGAGTTTGAGACCAACCTGGCCAACATGGAAACCCCGTCTCTACTAAAAATACGAAAAATTAGGTGGGCCTGGTGGCACACACCTGTAGTCCCAGCTACTCGGGAGGCTGAGACAGGAGAATCGCTTGAACCCAGGAGGCGGAGGTTGCAGTGAGCCGAGATAGTGCCACTGCACTCCAACCTGGGCGACAGAGTAAGACTCTGTCCAAAAAAGAAAAAAATGAGAGATGTGATCTCACTATGTTACCTAGGCTGGACTTGAACTCCTGGGCTCAAGCAGTCCTGCCTTAGCCTCCTGAGTAGCTGGGACTACAGGCACATACCTCTTTACCTGCTTTCCCCTGCCCCCATAAGGTGAATTCATTTATTGCCCTTGGGAGTTAGGGGACGGGAGCAGTTTGATTTTGATTTTAAATGAAAATTTGAGCTGCTTGGGAGGTAAACAGTGGGTACACATGGACATACAGAGTGGAATAATAATTGATCATTGATAATAATTGATCCCATTTTGAATACAGAGATAGACTCCTTTTGAATATTTGTGTTTTTGCCTGTCAGGTTTTTTTTGTTTTGTTTTGTTTTGTTTTTTTGGAGATGAAGTCTCACTCTGTTGCCCAAGCTGGAGTGCAGTGGCGTGATCTCAGCTCACTGCAACCTCCACCTCCCGGCTTCAAGCGATTCTCCTGCTTCAGCCTCCTGAGTAGCTGGGACTGCAGGCATATGCCACCATGGCCGGCTAATTTTTGTATTTTTAGTAGAGACGGTTTCATTATGTTGGCCCAGCTGGTCTCGAACTCCTGACCTCGTGATCTGCCCACCTCGGCCTCTCTAAGTGCTGGGATTACAGGTGTGAGCCCCTGCGCCCAGCCACTTTTATTTTTATTTTTGTCGCCCAGGTTGGTTGGACAGAGCAAGAGACAGGATCTTGCTCTGTCACCCAGACTGGTGTACAGTGGCACGGGAAGGCCTGAGTCTGAGAAGGTGTGAGCCACTTCACCTGGCCTTTCTTATATGTAAATTAATTTTGTATAGTTTTATACCTGATATTTGAAATTATGTAACATGCAGTAGTCTTTGTAATAATCCAGAGACACTTGTGTGATAATTGAGTCTCATTTACCATGACGGCAATCTTGGCAAACACAAGTTGAATACACCAAGCAAAAAATTACTTTCCCATTCGTTTCCCTTTCTTGCCCCTTCAATCTTGTGCTGAAATTGAAGTTCTCAGTTTGAGCCCTCCTTTTCCTAAACCGAGAGGATTATTCATAACATAGTCTGAAGGACAATTTTGTTCTTTTTTTTTTTTCTAAACTCTTGAATAGTCTTGCTTTAAGGGAAACTTTGGAATAATCCTTTCAGCAAATTGGTGTAGCAGGCACTTGTGCTGGACTTGAGGAATCCAGTCCTTTTAGAAAACAGTTATGTCAGAAGTTCCTCTATTGTACAGCTCCAAGTATTTGCTTAGCACTTAGTAAGACGATCATGTATATGTATTATTATTCTTCCAAGACAAAAACCATGTGACCTCTTTTTTTTTTTTTTTCTGAGACCAAGTCTGGAGTGCAGTGGCGCGATCTCAGCTCACTGTAAGCTCTGCCTCCTGGGTTCACGCCATTCTCTCCTGCCTCAGCCTCCTGAATAGCTGGGACTACAGGCACCTGCCACCACGCCCGGCTAATTTTTTGTATTTTTAGTAGAGATGGGGTTTCACTGTGTTAGCCAGGATGGTCTTGATCTCCTTACCTCGTGATCTGCCCAGCTCGGCCTCCCAAAGTGCTGGGATTACAGGCATGAACCACCGTGCCTGGCCTGTGACCTCCTTTTACTAGACAGTTTGTCTTTTCTTTTTTTTTTTTAAATTTATTTATTTTTATTTATTTATTTATTTATTTTTCTGAGATGGAGTCTCGCTCTGTTGCCCAGGCTGGAGTGCAGTGGCTGGATCTCAGCTCACTGCAAGCTCCGCCTCCCGGGTTCACGCCATTCTCTCCTGCCTCAGCCTCCTGAGTAGCTGGGACTACAGGCGCCCGCCACCATGCCCGGCTAATTTTTTGTATTTTTAGTAGAGATGGGGTTTCACTGTGTTAGCCAGGATGGTCTTGATCTCCTTACCTCGTGATCTGCCCAGCTCGGCCTCCCAAAGTGCTGGGATTACAGGCATGAACCACCGTGCCTGGCCTGTGACCTCCTTTTACTAGACAGTTTGTCTTTTCTTTTTTTTTTTTAAATTTATTTATTTTTATTTATTTATTTATTTATTTTTCTGAGATGGAGTCTCGCTCCGTTGCCCAGGCTGGAGTGCAGTGGCTCGATCTCAGCTCACTGCAAGCTCCGCCTCCCGGGTTCACGCCATTCTCCTGCCTCAGCCCTCCGAGTAGCTGGGACTACAGGTGCACTCCACCACGCCCGGCTAGTTTTTTGTATTTTTAGTGGAGACAAGGTTTCACCGTGTTAGCCAGGATGGTCTCGATCTCCTGACCTCGTGATCCGCCCACCCAGGCCTCCCAAAGTGCTCGGATTACAGGCGTGAGCCCCCGCGCCCAGCCGACAGTTTGTCTTTTCATTTGACAAAGAATGAATTTAATTCAGCTTTATTTATAATAACATACTGTCTTGTATATTGGAAGAGTTTTATAAAAACGTTTAAGAATGAGAACTTTTGTAGCAATCACATCTCAAAATGTATCTGCAAGTTTAGCTATCTTTTGGCTTTTTGCTGTATTAACAGTTATACTATTGAAAGTATATAGCTGAGCATGGCATAGTAGCTCACATCTGTAATCCCAGCACTTTGGGAGGCCGAGGCAGGCAGATCACGAGGTCAGGAGTTCGAGACCAGCCTGGCCAACATGGTAAAACCCCGTCTCTACTAAAAATACAAAAAATAGCTGGGTGTGGTGGTGGGCACCTGTAATCCCAGCTACTGAGGAGGCTGAGGCAGGAGAATCATTTGAGCCTGGGAGGCGGAGGTTGCAGTGAGCCGAGGTCACGCCATTGCATTCCAGCCTGGGTGACAGGACTAGACTCCGTCTCAAACAAAAGCACAAAAATAAAATACAAAAATTAGCTGGGTGTGGTGGCGCGTGCTGAGGCAGGAGAATTGCTTAAACCCGGGAGGCGGGGGTTGCAGTGAGCTGAGATTGCGCCACTGCCCTCCAGCCTGGGCAACAGAGCCAGACTCCATCAAAAAAAAAAAAAAAAATGTATTCTTGAAAGGTCACAGAAAAACTACCATCTTAAATATCCAGCTGGGTGTGGTAGCTATAATCTCAACTTGGGAAACTGAGGCGGGAGGATCACTTGAACCCAGGAGTTCCGGACCAGCACGGGCAACATAGCAAGACCTCCTCTCTACTAAAAATTTAAAAAATGAGCCAGGTGTGGTGGTGTGCGCCTATGGTCCTGGATACTCAGGAGGCCAAGGTGGGAGGATCCCTGAGCCCAGGAGATTGATGCTACAGTGAGCCAAGATTATGTTACTGCACTCCAGCCTGGGTGACAAGACCCTATCTGAAAAATAAATAAATAATTGGCTGGGCGTGGTGGCTCACGTCTGTAATCTCAACACTTTGGGAGGCCAAGGTGAATGGATCACTTGAGGTCAGGAGTTCGGGACCAACCTGGCCATCATGGCAAGACTGTATCTCTACTAAAAATGCAAAAATTAGCCAGGCATGGTGGTGCATGCCTGTAATCCCAGCTATTCGGGAGGCTGAGACAGGAGAATCGCTTGAACCCAGGAGGCAGAGGTTGCACTGAGCCGAGATCACGCTACTACACTCCAGCCTGGGCAACAGAGCGAGACTCTGGCTTGAAAAAAATAATAAAATAAAAATAAATAAATAAATATTAAACTCTCCGAGTTTCTGACCTCATTGTTTTCACCCCATGAGAGGAAGTATACCTCAGAGACCGATCACGTCTTCATGCCTTCAACTGCAGTGGCTGCAGTCGATTCTCAGACTTCTTAATGCCCTCATGTTAAAGGAAAATGAAATTCTAGTTTAGTGAAGGTTTGCAGGAGTTTTCTGGCCACTTGGTGATTTCTTATAGGTAGACAGAGAATAAATACTTTATAGCCTCGTCTGTCTAGGCATCATTTCAATTTAGGACTGGTTTCCTGGGCATTGAATTAAACAAAGATAATGTAGCAATACTTCCATAGATCTATTTTCAGTTTATGTATTATATAAATGTCATTAACTTCACTTGATTGCATCTGATTGTATTTTGGAAAATCCTGGACATGAATATGTATTTAAGTCATTATTGCAAATTACAATAAAATCGTACAAGAGTTAATAGAGTACTACTTGTTGCACAACAGAAGTCATTGGAAGCGTTACTAAGTAACCTCAGCGAGAACGAGTTACATTACCAAGAAACACTTCTGGATCTTATTTACTTGTTTATCAAGTAGAACTGATTTTTTGCAGGACAGAAATTAGGAGCTCATTGTAGCCTTCATTTAATCCCACAAAATCCCCATTAACAAGTGTTAAGTGCCCTTGCTAAGGGTAGATTCTTAAGCTTAACACCTAGTTGATATTTGCTGTTATCTAAATTATTAAAGTCAAGATTTGCTTAATGGTTAAGTTTTTTTGTTTTAATCCAGCTATGTTAGATACTAAAGAAGGCTTCCCCACAACCCATATGCATCTGCTTTGACTGGTGGTTTCTATCATCCTACAAAGACTGTGACTTATTGGTGAGGGCAGCTGGACAACTCTGAGAGCAACTTAGAGAAATCCATCTTGGGCACACTCTATAAAGGAGCTCCTTCTCTGCAAATAGCACCCCAGATAAGTGCACAAAAGCAAGATACCCTCGTGGACCTACACGTCCTCCCGCTTTTCAACACCCTGATGCCTGCAGGTGAGGTCTCTTTCCTGTGTGTCGTAGAAGCCATGAGCACGCTTAGGTAACTAGAGCCCTGCCACAACCTGAGCAGCGCAGCACACATCCGCAGGCTTTCCTGCCAGACCTTTGCCTAAAGGTAATTTTTCTCAGTAGGAGAGACTCCAGGTCAGGAGTGATGACAGTAAGGTTGCATTTAAAGCTGCATTACACTAAATAGTGGACTGGTCTAGTGATTATTTTCCCACACTGGGCAATATTTGCTTAATGATTAAGTTTTTTGTTTTTGTTTTTGTTTTTTTTTAATCCAGCTATGGTTGATACTAAAGGAGGTTTTCCCACTATCCGTATGCATCTTCTATGTTTTGAAATTGCAACTATGGACAGTTATGGCTAATCCTAGTAGATTGTCTTCCCTTCTTTTAACATCTTGGATGAATTTGGGTCACACTAATTGTTATGTGAAGATGGATGTTGAATGTAAGTTTCTCTGCCATTCTTAGCCAATCTATAAAAATTACATTAGCCTAATTGCTAACAATGCCGAGAATTTAGGTGTAGTATCCCTCTGGACAGCAGAGCTTCTGTTTTCTTACCGTATGGATACTCTATAGATTCACCCCAGCCAGTCATGTGAAAATACCTGCATAGGCAACAGAGATATCTGTGGAGAAAGTGCATGGGGTAATAGGTACAGGGTGATTTTGGGGGTGATGGAAATGTTCTGGAATGAGATATGGTGAAGGTTACATAACACGGGTGAACACACTAAAAACCACTGAAATGTACACTTACGAGTGGTGAGTTTGTGTGCTCTCTGAATTATATATCAGATTTTTAAAAAGTTAATTAAAAAATCAGTGTATATGAGTCCCTCCTACAATGGAGAGGGCTTCAAGTGCATGGCCTATTGCCAAGGCTCAGCAGCAATATTGTGGGAAAGTCTGTGGTTTGCACAAAGCTCCTTGGTGCCCTTTTCCCAGCTTTCTCAGTGGCTTAGGCCCTGTGTATCTATTCTAGTTGAATGCCCCCATGTTATAAGTCTGTGGAGATGTTTTGAGATAAGAGATATGTATTCAGAAAACAAGTTTGAGACTCCTAGGTGTTGGTAATTATACTTTACCTCGTCTCCAACTTGATAGCCATTCCAGGGAACAAGCAGATTTTTACCAATGCCTTCATAAAATGAATCACGTCTACTGCCTGGGGTGGGTGGGAGGTGGAAGAGAAGTTTGCTCTTACTAAAATGTAATAGAGTCCATTCTTCCGGTATTGTGAATGTTTTAAGGTTTACCTGGGCATTTAAGGACAGGCCATGTGTTTTAGGGATTTAAAATGATGTCAGTGGCTATACTATATTAGTTCAAGTAATCACAACAAACTTTTTATTATTTCTCTATAAAATCCCTCAACTTTCACCCCTTTTTTCTTTGCCAGTGTGTAGAATTTGACAGCAGTATCAAGAGCTGAGGAGAAGGAGAAGATGGAAAGGAGTCTAGCAACTTAAAAATCTCACAGCATTCTCTGTGAGGTGACCTTTTTTCCTGTTGGTGGCTCAATTTCTTTAGGACATAAAGAAGATACTGAGGCCTGTGACAGCCTGTGACAGTATCATCAAGTTGTATCTGAACTTATTGAACTGTTTCCTCCCCTTTCTTATTCTTTATTCACAGTTTACTTTTCATGTGCATAAGTTGACTCATTTGTTTCCTGTTAGCATTTGAAACACCATATAGCCACCATAAGTCCTGACAAAATGACTTCTAATGAGGAGGGGGAAGGTCCACGTCCCACCTTCCTATGAAATTTTGGCCTATTCACAAATCTACCCCCACATAAGAGAAGTAGTTATGTTCTGTAAAGAAGAGGTTGATAAAAACCTTTAGCATGGTGTTTTGTGACTTAGAAGTTTTAAGTAGTCGTTCTTATATCTAAGCATTTATTAATTTTGGTAAGAACATTACCATATGTTTCTGATGTCACTTCTACTGTTAAGAGGTGCCAGGCATCTGGCGGCCTGCCACTTCAGGATTTGTGTGAATCGGACGATCTAAATATAGTATAAATTAGAGACCAGTACTTGTATTTCCTGATTAAAAACAAACTAACCTCTGTTTCACTATTGAAGTAAGAGTACTTTACAATGAACACAAAAAATGTATATTAAATATCCAGTAGCGCATGCTAAAGTGAACATTTCTGTTTTTATTTCAGCAACTTATTTTATGGTATTGTAGTTATGGCCTGTGCGAAACTCTCCGACATGTTCTAAACAGCTTTCAGAGAGTCACTGAGGCTTATTTGCTACTACTCTTGTTTTTCCTTTAGCTCAGTTAAGAAATGCTTAGTTAGCCGGGCATGGTGGCTCACGCCTGTAATCCCAGCATTTTGGGAGGCTGAGGTGGGTGGATCACCTGAGGTCAGGAGTTCGAGACCAGCGTGGCCAACATAGTGAAACCCTGTCTCTACTAAAAATACAAAAAACTAGCTGGGCGTGGTGACAGGCACCTGTAATCCCAGCTACTAGGGAGACTGAGGCAGGAGAACCACTAGGACTCAGGAGGCGGAGGTTGCAATGAGCCGAGATCACACCATTGCACTCCAACCTGGGCAACAAGAGCGAAACTCCGTCTCAAAAAAAAAAGAAAGAAAAAAAAGAAAAGAAAAGAAATTAAGCATTTCTTAACAGTCAGCATGGTAGTTAGGAGTACTGACTCCAGGGTCACACCACCTGAATTTGAGGCCCAGCTCTGTCAGTTACTAACTGTGAGATCTTGGGCAAGTGACTTACCTCTTTGTGTATCAGTTTCCTGAGAATAGGAATATTCCCTGTCTCATGGGGTTGTTATAAGGGTGAAATAAATGAGTTCATATATGTAAAGTGCTTAAAACAGTGCTTGACACTTAGCACAGTGTAGGTACTGTTCACCATTATTTGAACTGGACTGTAGTCACTGCTTTCAGTTGCATTGCTCCTTGCTTCAACAGCCCTGATTGAATGCCTTCTTTAGTTGCATCCACACTGAAATAGATTCTTCAGTTCCTAGGGCACGCACAGGGCAGCAGCATCTTCAGAGAACAGTTCTGTCTTCCACATCCACTTGAATTCTTATTTCATTCTCCAGTCTTTGTAGCGCCTCCATCATACTGCTTGTATCTTATATGATGGATGTATGTTCTGAACTGACCCACTCAGTTTAGGGCCAAATACTTTGTTATACAGAAAACTGTACAAAGAACATGTTAGTTTAAACATATTACTAAAGTCATAAAACTGGAGGTTTTCCAGGCTAGCTTTTTCAGGCTAACTATGTACAGAAAAACTTTGTGGGTTTTTTGTTCTGTTTTATTTTTTTATTTTTTTATTTTTTGGTTTTTGAGATAGGGTCTTGCTCTATTGCCTAGGCTGGAGTACAGTGGCATGATCTCAGCTCACTGCAACCTCCGCCTCCTGGGCTCAAGCGATTGTAGTGTGTCAGCCTCCTGAGTAGCTGGGATTACAGGTACATGCCACCACACCTGGCTAATTTTTGTATTTTTAGTAGAGATGGGGTTTCACCTTGTTGGCCAGGCTGGTCTCACACTCCTGGCCTCAAGCGATCTGCCCGTCTTGGCCTCTCAAAGTGCCGAGATTACAGGTGTGAGCCACCATGCCCGGCCAGAAAAACTTTGAATAAAGTCAAGGTATTATATGATTTGGGGGAGAATGAACGGGGCTTTTTTGTACTCTTGAATATTCTCTAAAATCAGTGATGTGGGCCAGGCGCGGTGGCTCAAGCTTGTAATCCCAGCACTTTGGGAGGCTGAGACGGGCGGATCACGAGGTCAGGAAATAGAGACCATCCTGGCTAACCCGGTGAAACCCCGTCTCTACTAAAAAAAATACAAAAAACTAGCAGGGCGAGGTGGCAGGTGCCTGAAGTCCCAGCTTCTCGGGAGGCTGAGGCAGGAGAATGGCGTAAACCCGGGAGGCGGAGCTTGCAGTGAGCTGAGATCCGGCCACTGCACTGCAGCCTGGGCAACAGAGCGAGACTCCGTCTCAAAAAAAAAAAAAAAAAAAAATCAGTGATGTGAGTGACCCTTACATGAACCTTCCTCAGTTTCACCAGCTCTAGGCCCCATAGGGCAAGGGGACAATTATAGAAAGAAGGGACCATGGACACATAGACTAGTTGCACACCTTCCTGGCTCTTGTTAGTTCTTGGGGCAGGACAGCTCACAGGTGTCAGAATGTTCCAGTGAGCCCCAGTGAAAAGTGGGCTGAAATAATTGCCAGTGATTGGCTCCCCCACTGTAAAACACTGACTTGCTTGAGTGCGCGTAGCACCTGAACTGTGGGTTGCTGTGTGTGTGTGCACATGCGTGTGTGCACAGGTGCGGTCGGGAGTTTCATTGCATCTAGGGGCTTCATAGTGGCCATAAGATCATATTGTGTTTACTCTGACTAAAGGCCAGTGTGGGATCAAAGGAGGTTCAGACACACTTAGAAATTCACTAGACACTTTATTTCCCTGAATAATACTCCCTGAGCTTGCTTTTTCTGTCAGAGAGAATGTTCTAAATCAGGATCACTGTAGAAGATTTGGAAGCCACATTTCTGTAGCTGTGTAGTGTGTCAGATCCATCCAAATATTTACCTACCACCAATTATAGCTTTATTTTCCCTTATTTTTTAAAGCTTTTTTTTTTTTTTTTGGGAGGTACAGTCTTACTCTGTCACCCAGGCTAGAGTGCAGTGACGTAATCATAGCTCACTGCAGCCTTGAACTCCTGGGCTCAAATGATCCTCACTTCAGCCTCCTGAGTAGCTGGGACTACAGGCCTGTACCACCACACCTGACTGATTTTTTATTTTTAGATTTGTTTCGTGAAGTCAGGGTCTTACTATGTTGCCAGGCTGGTCTGGAACCTCTGACCTCAAGCAGTCTTCTGTCCTCTGCTCCCCAAAGCGCTGGCCTGAGACACCACACCCAGCCTAAACTAAAAGCCATTTTTAGTAACTCCCACCAATGTGGTTACTATTAGAAAGTTGTATGGTTTCTGGGTCATGTTTGGTGTCAGAATGTGTACATATATCCTTATAAATATCGAATGTAGAACTGATAGTAGTTTACCTTTCAGATTTGCAAAAATAAGGAAAGATTTTTAGCAGCTTGTAAGAAACATATACATACTTGGATGAATAATTAGAATTTTAATTTACAGCTCATATGCTCTTACAGTATTCTCTTTGAGGGTAAAACATACTTTATTCTCAAAGAACCTTGGATAAGCCATGAATTATGGCTTCAGTGACTACATTTCTTTTTAGGAGTTATATGTGGGGGAAGGAAAGAAGTAGGTACATGGAAGTGTTAACATGGAAAACAGGAGATTACAGAGAAGCATTATTTGAGCCTTTGGATACTACAAATAATCTTCAACAATGACTGTGGTTTTTTGGCTTTTTGTTTTTCCTTTCCTTTTGTGCTAGTTGCAGAATCCTATCATATTGTGGTTAGATTTCAATAAAGAATGTTTAAGATCAGGACTTTGTCTTGCATTTAAAAAAGACCCTATATTCAAGTTAAAGCTTGTATATATTTGTTTTTTGTTTTTGTTTTTGAGACGGAGTTTTGCTCTGTCCCCCAGGCTGGAATGGCCAGGAGAGCAGCAGGAGCTGCAGGAACAGGTGCTTCCTCACTGGCCACTCCATCTTGAAAACTCATGGCCCATGTCCCGAGGCTGAGTGGCATCCAGAGTGAGTTATTCTACCGGCTCAATCTCTTGTCCCTTTTGTTGGGCTTACATCTTGCTGTTCACTGTTCTGGGATTCACCAAGTCCTGAGCAAATCTGGTGTTGCAGCGCCACCTCTTTCTGTTGGCTTGTCTTTTTTTTTTTTTTTTAGATGGAGTCTTGCTCTGTTGCCCAGGCTGGAGTACAGTGGCACAATCTTGGCTCACTGCAAGCTCCGCCTCCCGGGTTCACGCCATTCTCCTGCCTCAGCCTCCCGAGTAGCTGGGACTACAGG